TTGTGCGCAAAGTTTCAAGTGAAAACTCAAAACTCAGTTTTCTTGATGTCCCTGAGGGGGACCACGGTATTCTGCTTAAAAATAAGTAAAAATGCAATAAACCCCTCCCCGTAATAGAAGCCCCTCCCATATTAGAAGCCCCCTTTAAAGGATTTATCCAGCAAAATTTTCAACTTTTCCCAGCAAAATCCGGCCCAAGTTTGCAAGGCCTAATAGAAGCCCCGGGGGGCTTCTAATATGGGAGGGGTTTATCTCGACACCAATAAGCTAGCGGCACGAAATTTTTTTAAGTTATTCATAGACCATTAGGGTCTACATGATGCTTATAGTATCGACCCAAAAGCGATGTGACACTTGGGAATGCTCTCTCGTTAGTAAAAAGCACAATGATAAAGAACGTCTTCAATCACACGATGAAACATGTAGCTAAGGTTGACTTTTCTAGAAAGGTTACGGTAATAACAATGGCGTGAAGGTAAGATAATTTTTCTTAACTCTATCAGACAAACATGATTATTTTGAAATAAATTAATTAGATAATTAACTAAGATAACTGTATTTTCTTACCTCTTTTCATTAATCTAAGGAAGTTTGAATTGTCAAAATCCTCTCATTCATATTTATGAGTTGACACTAGATTTTTTTGTGACAAAGACGTCATTATGGATGTAAGCGTACATATTGTAAGTGTAGTACGACAATATTTTCAATGGTTTGGTGATCTACGTGAAAGAAGCCGAGTGGATCGTGATAGTCACAATAGAAAACATAATGGAGGAACCACTATGCCCACAAAGAAAGAAATCTCGAGCAGGATATCTAATACCATTATGTAGAAGATCGGTTTCATTTTTTCTACAGAAGATAGTAAATTAAAAATCTTTGACATAAAAAAGATTTAGACATACAAATAGAAAAGAAGTTAACTAATTTACAGATACAACTACAAAGTAGAATATATATTGGTAAGAACAAATTTTTTATGTATTTTGCCAAATTTACTTTCACATCGATCTAGTTCGGATGGTGAACGATTTGAGGACAATGATCTTCAATCTGATGATAAACATGAAAGATTAGCAATAGAAAAAAGAAATATTGTGATAGTCGAAGTGTGCATGGAATAACTCTCATGATAATAGTAATTAGTTTTTATTACTGTTCTAATCCATCATATTCGTTGTCATGAGCATAGAAGTCAGTTTCATTGTATTATAAATAAACTATTGTGAGACACGCTGATGAAAAACATTTCTCAAAATGTATTTTGTTGTATTAAACCAAATAGTTTCTCAATCAAGATACAAAGAATATGCGCTGATTAAATTAAAAATCTACTAAGAAAAATATTTTTCATATAAGTTGTTCTGTGTTTCAAATTTTTGTTTGAGTAAATTTAACACAAGATACTACGAAGAAGATCATCACAGAAAATTGTACTTCAAAACAACAAGAAAATACTTCTTGTGATTATCTAGGAAAGTGTTGCTTATAACCAATTTTCAGATTATGAAAAAACAGATTATCAGACATGTATCGTTGTTCGTTATGCTTCTTTTAAATTAAGAATTATCAACTACGCATGTAAGATTTATGTTTTTCCATCTACTTTTATCTTATATGTAGATGCCAATGTGAATGTAAATGTTCAAGTCAATCGTATTAATAATGGGCTCACTCATTCCAAATGAGAAAAAGTTTGATTCATAGTCAGCAAGAAGATCATAGTAAGCATCATCTACACATCGGAGGTAAACACGTAACTAACTAACGGCTGTCTAAACTCGATGGTGTTGGAAAGCTTTTGGAACCTGAAGAAAATGGCAGATCACACGTGCATCCATTCCTGAATGCAATAGTGAATCATCATCGAAACAAGCCAAATGACTCCAAACAATAGGGATACGTGGAAAACAATATTTTATCTTGTCTATTATTCTTTTTATTGTTTTGTAATGCTTTTGCTTCATTTGATAAACATCTATTGAATAAAATAATCAAAAACTAAGAGTTTGATTACTGATGATTTTGCGTTTATAATCCTGTTATTGCATAATTGACATTTACATATGCATTGTTTCATTTTGATTAACGACTTGATAATTTGCATCGTTGAAACTGTTAGTCATACAAAAACATGATTGTTTTTATTCAAAACTTTGACAATTTCTTAAAAGACAGTAAAGTCTAAAAGACATTTTTGCCAAGAAACTAGTTGGTTTGACGTAATAATCCTTAAATTGACTTATTCAGTTTTTTCTTTGCTAACTTAATGTAAATTATGAATGACATATCATAAATACACAAACAAAATTCTTAGTTTCAAAAAAGAAAATGATCACAATATCAATGGCAATTCGTAGTATTGACATCCTACAATAGACCAATTTTTTCCTATAGATTTATTCTTCTAATAGTTCCTCAAAAATTGTGATTTTCGATATAGCAGCGCTACAATAAATTGAAAACGTCAAGTTACGATTCGTCTACTTGTTATCAGTAAATATTTATACATCACCTACTCATAGACTTATGACTCTTAATAACTAACACTCAATTATTCGGTCTAATAGACTTTCCTATGGAACACATACCGCTGTCGGAAATAAAGCAAAGTGTTAAAATTATTCTCCAGAAAAGACATGTCTCGTTTGAGATTAGAAAAAAATGGGAAATAATCTTTACTGTTCTTTGCAGTAGTTTTTTGATATCTGGTTTCTTAATTCTTATCATTATTGGAGTTAGCATCTATGCAGAAGAACATCCCAAAGAGTTAACATATGCACAAAGTATATGTCAAGTTCATACTAATGGTTATAAAGAATATCGATGTTATAAACGGCAAAATTCTCGATGTTATGCGCCTGTATGGCATGTAACTTACGAAGAAAGTCAAATGATAAATGTAACAATGGTAGGATACAATCGATTTAGTTCAGTAGTTGATGCAATTTCAAAAGCATATGAATATCAGGTGAGCTATTCTAAATAAATCCTATAAATGTCTCAATTGTTGAAAGGTATTCAAACTTGTAATACTAAAAATAACATCGAATCTATTCTCTTATTTTATTTAGATTGGTTCATCTTATCCGTGTTGGTACGACACGAAAAATGTATTAATAGTTCAATGGGAACAACCAAATTCTACTAATGGCCTTATTCTAATAATTTTTAGTGGACTTATAACGATTCCTACTATTATTTCTTTCATTCTTACATTCAAATTTTGTAAACAAATTAGAAGACATCAAACGAAATAATATTATTTTTTTTTCAAATTCATTTTTCATTTGAACAAATAAATTATATGATTTAATGCAAGAATCTCTTTTATAAAGTCTAGATTTTCGACCTATAACAAATTCATGAGGATTTTTTGTTAAACATCATGTAAAAATTAGACTGTTGACAGCCAATACAAAGGATAGTTATGGAAATATCGGAAGAATAAACAACTGTTCATTATACATCCCATCATCCGTATTCTAAGCAATGACTGATTATTTCATTTAAATCAAACTATCTCCGATTGTATTTCTATGAATGTTCATGTGAACCATTGATAAGAGAATAATTGAAAAGTTGAATATATTATTTATAATGATTTATTTTCTATTTTGATCTTTTAAAATGAAAATCTTTAATAAAAAAAGTATTAATGATGTTATTTATCTTTATTATTTTTCTTATGAGGCTAAATTATATTCCTTATTTTTGTGTCATTATTTGTCTAGCATCAACTTCAACTTATAAAGTCAGACTCAATAGACAGTGGCGACAACAAAAGAAGCGCATCTATCAACTATTCATATATGTGTGGTTCGTTGTGGTAATTTTGAATGGACACATGACTCACTAATCTCGATTGTAAAAGTAAGAAAAAAAAGTAAATTACTTATTTTTTTTCTTATCATTATACAAATGGCACAACGTACAGCATCACAACTCTATTTTGATTTAATTCGTCTGTTTAAACAATGGCCAATTGATAAATCTAAAACAGGTCGTGATCTTGGTGAATGTTTACGACAACAATTTTCTCAAGCATTTATTCTAGGTGAAAATTCTCAAGTAGATTGTAATGAATGGAATCGTTTTTATGATAATATGAAATTATTAATATCTAATGATATTAAAAATCATTATAAACGTGAACGTAATTGGACAGCATCTGGTTTAAGTCGTGAACATTTACATTTTTTACTTTCAAATAAAAGTCTTCAAGCTAATAAAGATTTTATGAAAAAAATGAAATAAAAATAAAATAAAAAGAATCTCGTTTTTTTTGTTTGTTTGTTTTTCATTTTTTCTAGATCATGCGTTTAACTGAACGTGAATTTGAAAATTTAAAAATTAGTTATGCTGGTACTGTTGCACAAAAACGTCTTGCTCGTGGTATACGTTTAAACTATCCTGAAGCTGTTGCACTTATATCAGCACAATGTCTTGAATTAATTCGTGATGGAAATCATAGTTTAACTGATATTCAACAACAAGCAAAAAAAATACTTGGAAAAAATATGGTACTTAATGGTATACCACAAATGATAAAAGAAATAAATATTGAAGCAACATTTCCTGATGGTGTTAAAGTTGTAAGTTAATTATATATAGATTCTTACAATTTAATATCATTTATAATTAAGGTCATTATTCGAAATCCTATTTGTACGGATATGGGAGATTTAGAATTAGCTTTATATGGAAGTTTTTTACCAATACCATCAATTGAATTATTTCAAGTAAAATATTTAATTTGTCGATTAGTTGTTTTTTTTCCTTCTTCTCTTTTTGATTTCTAGAAAGCAAATGATAGTGAATCAGGATCTCATCCAGGTGAAATATTTCTTAAAGATGCTCAGCCAATTATGATTAATGGTGATCGTGATAGTATATTTATAACTGTAACAAATGAGAGTACTGAATTAATATCAATTGGAAGTCATTTTCATTTTGTTGAAGCTAATAGACATTTAGCATTTGATCGTACACTTGCTTATGGAATGCGTTTGGTAAATAAATAAATTTCGATTTTTTTTTGTTTTGTTTATTGTTTAATTATGTTATATTTTCATATGATAGAATATTCCTGCTGGTGATATCTTAACATTTAATCCTGGAGAACAAAAAGAAGCTCCAATTATACCAATTGGTGGACAAAGGTAAATGTTTTCTTTTCTTTTAATTTATTATTTATTTATATTAATTTATTTTATTTAGAATAATTCATGGTGGTAATGGTCTTTTTGATGGACCAGTTAATGATGAAAATTTAAAAAAAAATCAAAAAAATTTACGAAAAAATAATTTTTTACATGTAGATGAAAAAAATAGTTTAGAAAAAGTAAATCGTCGTTCAACAAAATATACAATTCCACGTGAATTATATCTTGTTCGTTATGGACCAACAACAGGCGATCGAGTAATTATCAATTGATATTTTGTTTCGAAAAAAAAAAAAAAAGAAATTTTTGTTTCTTATTTTTTCGATACGTAGATTTTACTTGGTGATACAAATTTAGTAGTACAAATTGAAACTGATTTAACAACATATGGTGAAGAATGTACATTTGGTCTTGGAAAAGTTTTAAGAGAAGGTATGGGTCAAGCATCAAATATACGTAATGATATTGCATTAGATACAGTTATAACTAATGTTGTTATTATTGATGCTGTTATCGGAATACTTAAAGCAGATGTTGGAATTAAAGTAAATTTAATATTTTATTTGCCGTTTTTTTTTTTTTTTTGGTTAAATGAATTATTTAGGATGGTATCATTGTGGGTGTAGGAAAAGCTGGAAATCCTCAAACAATGTCTGGTGTTACTGCTGTAAGGAGCGTTTTAGAAGTTTTGAAACAATTTTCAAAATGCATTGTTCTCATACTCAAAAAATCTTTGAAACTTTGACAGGTTAGTGTGTATCTACTTAATACTGAATAAATACAAGGCTTTAGATCTATAGCTTTTTCAATAGATGAACATTCATAACAACACTATCATGTAGTATTATCTTTTTCAATTTTTCCGATGATTTAGGTTATTTTTGAAAAAAAACAGTACAACTTTTCGAAATTAAAAGAAAAGTTATTAATGTTTGTTAATTTTTATGATCATCTTGATTGAGTACTAATTTTATTTATCCTAGTGTTTTTCTTTATCATTTACTGACATACAGAAATATTAAACTTGTTATCCTAATTTTTAACGTCGTTTTTTTCTGTTGATGTACACCAAATATTTTGTATAAGCCAAATGTCGGCTAGTTTGACAATAGAAATTTATAGATTCGATTTCGGTTGATAAAAAGATGTTTAACATCACATTCAAAGCCATTTGTACTCTTTGTTTATGATCGTAAACATCTTGAAAAATAATATTTCGTTAATCACTTAATTCTTAAGCTGCTTTTTCTGCTACGATAGTCCGAATGAATTTTGTATATCTGTCGTCTCTAAAATGTTTTGTTTTACGAATATCACTAGCTTGTGATCTGGTAAGCTCTTAGCACTCATCCGTAAAAAATTAGTTTGTTTTGAAAATTTTAGCAATCTAACTAAATGAAAAATCGTAAAAAAAATGCTACATGATAGTGTTCTTACAGTTTCTTATTCATTGAAAAAGCTATAGACGTAAGACTTTGTATTTATTCAATATCACGTAGTTACAATAACTTACCAAAGTTTCAAAGAATTTGCTTTTGTCAAATACAAGAACGATACATTTTAAAATTGCTTGAAAACTTCCGTGATAAATCTTAAGCAAAATAATTATTTCTTAGGGTATGGTCATTGGTGTTGGAACTGAAGTAATTCAAGGCGAAAGTTTAATATTAACGGCTGGTGCTATTGATGCATGTGCTTATTTTACATCACCTGATGTTGTTACCGAAGCAGTAATGAGTGGTGTAACAACAATGTTTGGCGGTGGAACAGGAATGAATGGTAGTGTAACTATGTCAACACCTGGTCCAAATCATATTAAATATATGATACAATCAACAGATGATTATCCAATGAATTTTGGTTTTTATGGAAAAGGAAATACATCTAAAGCAGAAGGTTTATCAAAAGAACTTGAAGATCAAATTGTAGCTGGTGCAATTGGGTATGAATTTATATGTCTCACAAGAGAATTTCTTCATCTAATAAATCATTTTGGAGTTGAAATTATGTACATTAAGTTGACTCAAATGAATTATGAATACTCATAGCCGAGTTCGTGTTCTTGAATTATTGTTGTGGAAATATTAGTTTTGAATGATATTTAAATGAATGCCGTGGTGTATGGAAACTGACTTTCGAATTTCGACGTGAAAGTTTGCACAGAGAAAGACTTTTATGAGAAAAGTTTTTTTGTAAGTGTTGCAGGTATTTTGGTTTGCTTCTATTCTGAAGTACAAATATCAGACCTGTCGGCTTGTATGAGCAAAGTAAAAGGCGAGCTATTATCATAATTGTATCTTAAGATTGAAAAAGTGACAAGATCTGAAACAACTCTTTTCAAGCTATTTATAGCCTATTTGGGTCTACATAATGCATTTAATTTCGATTCAGAAGCAGTTTATCAGTTAGAGAACTTCTCTTGTACGAATAAAATGAATTAAATTTGAGTTTTTTTAGTTTACGATTAGATGAACGTTGGGGTGCAACGCCATCGGCTATTGATACTTGTTTACGTGTTGCTGAGTATCATGATATTAGTGTAAGATTTTAATCTTTTTCTTTTTTTTCTCTATGGAAATATTATCTTTTTAATTGATTATTTAGGTTCATGCTGATTTAGATAGTTTACGTGAAGCTTATAGTGCACCAGATTCTATTTCAATGTTTCGTGATCGTGTTGTGTTAATTCCATGTACAGAAACAGCAGCAGCTCGTAATAATTTTTTTGAATTACTTCAACAACCTAATGTAATTATTACATCTTGTAATAATAAAGCAGCTGTTTATCGTCAACCTGGGTATTGTTTTTAAATTTTTTTTTTCTCTTTGAAATCTATAGCGATTATTTTTATTTTTCTAGAGAAAATCAAAAACAATTTGCTATTGAAGATTTTCTTCATGATATTGGAGCAATTAGTATTATTTCATCTTCATCACAAGTAATACTATTGAGATTTAAACTTACTAAAAAAAAAAAAACAATCAAATTTTATTTTTTAATAGTCTGGTGGACATGTCGGTCGCATTGTACCACGAACATGGCAAATAGCTGATAAAATGAAAGCTATTACAGGTTATTTACCAGATGATACAGTATGATTTCTATTTTGGATTGTTATAAATCCTATATTAATGATTTCTTTAGGAAAATTCTAATGATAATAATCGTGTTCGACGATATATAGCTAAATATACAATAAATCCTGCCTTAACACATGGTTGTGCACATGTCATTGGTTCAATTGAACAACACAAAATGGCTGATCTTGTTTTATGGCAGCCAATGTTTTTTGGTGTTAAACCTGAAATGATTATAAAAGGTGGTCAAGTATCATGGTCACAAGCTGGTATTGGTGTTTATGCTGATGTAAGACCAGAACCAATTTGTTTAAGAAAAAAATTTGGTGCCGTCGGTCGAAGTCCAAATGCAAATTCAGTAGTTTTTGTTTCGAAGGTAAATATTTGTTTTGCTTGGTTTCAAATTAATAAATGAAAAATATAATCAACTAATTCTTATCATTTAGGCATGTGCTGAATTAAGTGCATCAAATTCTTATGGAATATGTAAACATGTTGAAGCTGTACACGATATTCGTATGATAACACGTTTACATATGATTCGTAATGAAAATATACCAAAAATTGATGTTGATTTATCAACAGGTCAAATAACACTCGAAAAAGATGGTGAAAAAATTGTTAATGAACCATTACCACTGGCTGCTCGTTTACCATTAGCTCAACGTTACTTTATGTTTTGAATGTTATTTGTATTTGTGAATTCTAGAAGATTGATTACTAGTCATTTCTCAAACAAGACAAAAAAATTTTTCATTCCTATAGAATTTTTTCTTTTTCATTTCGATATAAAATCCTGTTTTTGTTTTTACGTTATTTGATAGTCAGATTGATCTAATTCTTCTTCTCCAGATAGAATAAGATGAACGACGAGATAAAACATTTTCCAGAGAATGTACAAAAACTATTAATTGATGCAAGAATACCAATGGAACAATTAAAACCAATTTATTATGAATTGACTATTGGTGAACATTTTCCTGATGATTCTATTCGATTAATTGAAGTTAACAATTCATTAATTGAAGAATTAGATAAGAGTAAAAAGTAATATTTCATTTTCGAACTAAATGATAAATCTCTAATAGAAATCAGATTATTAGAAAATTACGTTATTATGTTTTTTTTTCCGAACGTAACAGAATATGCTTTATATTCGTTGGATATTCATTGAAAAGAATATGTACATATGATTTGTGCATTCTACAACAGTAGAATTTAATATTATCTATCTCGTTTATGTATAAACAATTCCTAATCAATCATTTTAATATATAGATTGTTTTATTGTAGAACAAGAATAATGATCACGAGTATTTCAATGATTTTTTTTTTTCGTAGTTTAAATCTTTATGTGTATGAATTGAAATCATGATAGTAGGTTGTCCTCTATTATTCATAATGGATAGTTCATAAAATTAAACTATCCTCAAAATTAATTTACTTATTGTAAAACAAAAGTCGTGACAGCTGAAAATAAGAAATTACTATAGGATAAAATTAATCAAGTTTTTACTTCAGTCAATATTTAATTGAGTTAGTAGCCATGGTTGCTCATGCACGAATGATTTGTTTCAAGATATCTATTGAAAGATTTTTTTTCGAATCATTATTGATTGAAAAATTCCTGATTTTTGGTTAGAACACTGAATGCAGTGATCATGAGCGGTTTGGTTAATTAACTGAAGCACATGAAGAATGTATACTACAGAATCAGACGAATAACATAACTGGAAAATAATAATGATGAATTGTCATTGAAGATAGTTTGAAAAGCATCTTTACAAGTATATGGTTGAATGTTTTCTATTATGATCTGTAATATTCTGTACACTAGCTCATAGCTGTTGTTTTTATTATTTCGTTGATAGTATCTGAATTTTATTATTGATATAGTTTTCATCATGAGCAGTCTGCTCACTTTCCAGATTTGTCTCTCGTTCTAGGGTAGTTGACTACTTGTTTGAAGAAAAGAGAGAAAAAATTGCTTTGAAGGTGACATGTCGTATCAAAATATAATTCTTGTAGGTTTCATGTTTATAATGCTTCTACTTCGAGAAATTTTAGTTCATTTATGCATCATAAATCTAACCCTACGCACCTGCTATCGGTTCACATATTTGTAATGTTTCTTTAATAGATCATGTCGATCAAATTGAATTCATCAAAACAGCTTTATATCACTAAATTGAGTGATATAGTCTATGACTACTATCTTAAATATCGACGAAAGTAAAAGTTTATTTAACTTTATTCTAGAGTGTTTTCGTTTGTAGTCGCCACTATTTTTGATATATCCTATGTATTTTTCCAAATTCTATATATTGTTTACATCATTTTTGGATAATCGTAGAAAAGACTATTTCTTAGAAAATTTCTAATATCATAAAATATTTTTTATATAAAATAATTTATCTAGACTAGTCATTCGAGGAGCTCATGATGATTTTGCTACATTATGTACATCTGATCAAGTATTTGAAATAAAATCTGCTGAAACATCGAATACATTATTACTTGCTAGTCCACTTGATTCTTCATCGGTGAATAAAGAAAATGGATGTATTGCATTAACAGTAAATTATTCTTAATGAAAAATTTTTTATAATTAAGTTTGAAATATAATTCTATTCATAATTCAGGTTAATTCTATTCTACATTCAAAACTTGAATTAACACAATGTGTACCAAAATTAAAACGTATTCGTCAATTATTCGAAGAAAATCCATATCGAGGACATTTTGATGATGAAGAAAATTCTACACGAAAAGTATTAATATAAAGATTATCTTTCGAAATTAATAATTATTTTTCATAGATTACAATAGAAAATCTAAGAAATGAAATACAAGCAAGTGATGAAGCAATTGATGCATATTTAAAAAAACTCAATGTGATAACAATTAATGGTTTGTAACTTTTAGATATTTAATTATTTATTTATTATTCTGTTTAGGTCACTTACGATTATTGGATTTTGATTTTCGTACAAAACTTATCGAATATATTATTTCAATTATATCAATTCAAGATTGGTCAAAAGATAATATTCCCATTGATAAATGTGCTACTGAAATGAGAGAAATATGTCCAAAGTAGATTAAAAGAAAAAAAATAATAAAGTCATTTTATTTTATTTTTTTGTAAATTCTAAATTATTTTTTTTAGATATGTAGCAAAACAATTTCTTGAACAAATAGGTACTATTTCAAGTGATGGTAAGATAATTAATTTAGAAAATGAATTTTGTTTTTTATTTGATTTATTCAAGACAATTCAATTTCTTTGAATAAAAATACAATTTCAACTCATTATGCATTAGATTTATTACGAAACTTGGAAAAAGTATAAAAAAAAAACAAAAGTATTTATTTATAGACGAAATTCTTTTTTTTTTCATTAGATGAAATTATCGGAATTTATGACATGTTGGCGAGAATGTGTACCAGCTGAATTTCCAATTGATTTAGAACAATTAAAAGTAAATAAATTTAACATTTATTTGTTTGTTAATCAGATTGTTTCTTTCGTTTTTTTTTTTTTTATCTTAGGAATTTGTGATTATGTCTGAAGGTACTATTTCTTATATTGACATTGATAATCTTAGTGAAAAAGCTAATGAACGGTAAATAATAAATATAAAAAAGAAAAATTAAATTATCAAGTTTTCATTTTAGAATAAAAACATTATTTTCTCGAAAGAATAATTGGACATTATCTGAATTAGAACCATTTCTATCTAGTTTAACAACATCAAATGCTGAATTCAATTCTTTATTAGCAACACATACACGTTGTATTTTAAAAGATGGACAAAAATATTATGTTCCCAAATATGGTTAAAATCTTCTTTTTTTTTTGTATGTCAGATATAGATATAACTTCAACAAATAAAAAAAAAGAGTATTATTAATAACTTGTTTATAATATTTATTGATAATCGATATTAAGAATGGATTTATATGTGAAAGAAAAAACAAAAAGAAAGTAAGAAAGATGAAAGTTGATTAATTATGAGATTTTATTGTCGTTTTAATGATCAACTCTTATGTTTACAATTGCTTGATTGATATATTCATTGTGATTAATTTTACTATGCAAAGCTCTGTATCCTAGAATGTCCACGTAGAATCTATGTGGACTCCAATTGATAAAATACATATAATACACGAAGTTGTTGCTAAGTTAGTATTGATATGTGAAGACTGTAGAGAATACTTGATTGGAAGAAAAACAAACAGAAAAGCAGTTTTGTTTGAATTTTCACATATAATTCGAACTACTCTATCATGAGAATAACAAGTAGCTATGATTGATTGATGTTATCAATATACTGTACTAAATGTACCCATCGTGTTTCGAAAAGGACTTGATTCGATTACTTGTTATGAATCTATAACATTACAATAAATCTTAATAGGGTCTGGACAAGACAAAAGTAAATAACAATCATTTACATGCATTTCTCGATGATCTATTTACATAAATAATTGTCGAGCGTAACTAGTAGATGTTATCAGCACACTCTACTAGTCTTCCGTAGACCATATCTAGAAGATGAATGATTTCATCTATTATTACGTCCTTATGACAGTATGATGAAACAACCTGAAGTTCATGGAGATTTCAAGTGATCGTGTTAAGGTTAAAGAATAATTGAAAATAAGATCATTGTTATTATGGTTTTCATTGAATAGTTCTAACAAAAATTTCAACAAGAGTTTTTTTTTTATTTATGTTTTATTTGAAAATTAACAGATAAAAGATAAATATTGGAAATTATAAAATTTATTTAAAATAACAAAATATTATGTATTATTGTAGTAGAAAAGCATCTTTACAAATATTATGTATTTGATGGAGCATGATACATAGGTGCACGTGGAGGAGGTCGGGTTGGCATTGGTAATGTACCATCTGTTGTTTTTGGCTCAACTGGTATCCATTGTTCTTGATAAAGTGCAGCTAAACCATAAGCACTTGCACCAATTATTAATGATATAGCAGGTGAAATAGTTGAAATAAGAAAAAGACAAGGAAGACTAAGTAAAATATAAATAACAAAACGAATAAAATAATTTCGAGTTAATGGACCTAATTTTGTAAATAATACTGATGGATACTGTTGTAATGGTCGTGGTTTTGATTTTTTAACAATACGTCCACTACGTGGATATTCAATGAGAATAATAAATAATGAAAGAATAAGTCCATAAATAGCTATTTGCCATAATGAAAATCGAAGAATAATTGTTAAAATACTGAATATTGCTAAAACATAACCGGTTAATAAAACATGTTCATTAGCCCACATAGCCCATTCAATAGTATATGTAGGTAAAACTGTTTTTGTTGGTACATCTGTTAACATATTTATCTAGAAATATTTATACATAAATATAAGATTAAAACAATTTACAACATCCAATATGACTAGTCATTTAAAGAAACAAACAAACAAACAAACAAACAAACAAAAAAATACATAAAAAATAGACTATGATGATTGAATTGCTTGAAGATTCGTACGAGAAGATCGTGCTAATATTATTTGTTGTTGTTCTTCACATAAAACAAATAATTCTTTTAATGCAATATAATCTTTTAATCGTGTTGGTAATGGTAATTGTAATGCTTTTTTCCATGTTCGTTGTCCTAATGCTGAACGTATTCGAAAACGGCATAATTCTTTTAAATTTTTTGCACGTGTACATTCATTCCAAAGTATTCGTTCGATTTCAGGATATTTAGCTAATTGTTTAGCAACACATGGTGTTGAATATAATTCTTCTAAATTTATTGAACAACCACATTGAACAAGAAGTTTTATATTTTTAAGATTTTCATTTAATATAGCTAACATAAGAGCATTAAAACCTTAAAACAAACAAAAAAAAAGAAATAATTAATTTGATTCGAGAACATTAATTGTAAGTTTATTTTATGCTTTTCTTTCTTACCATCACGATCACGAATATTTAAATCACATCCATGTTTAACAAGTACTCGTAATACTTCATCATGATTTCTTGCTGCAGCAACATGTAAAGCAGTCCAACTACGTGTACATTCATTTAAATCACAACCACCTTCGATAAGAATTTCTGTTAATGTTGAATTATTTCCACAAGCTGAAACAAATAAAATTGTTTCATTAAATTGATTTCGTCCTTTATATTCAATGCCAGCTTTTAAAAACATTGTTGCAATATCTTTATGACATTTCCAAACAGCTAGAGAAAAGAAAAAAAAAAAAAGAAGCAATTGAATACTCAACGAAATATTTTAATTTTATCATTTACCAAGATCAAATGCTCGTGACGTTCGTTTATCTCTTGGAACACAACCACGACTAAGAAGAAGTTCAACAACTTCAGTTAAATTATATAATGTAGCAAGTTCAAGAGATTTAAAATCATTTTTAACAAAATCTACATCATTATTATAAACAATTTGTTTTATTTTTTTTACGTCTTTTCGTCGAATTGCTTCATGTAAACATTCACGTTTAACGGAATGATGATTACCCATGAAATATTATTCAAAATAATTATGCAAAAATATATATGTCGAACATAATATAAATTGTAGTCTTAATTTTTTGTTAATAAATAATGATGAAGATTAATCAATAAACATATGTTATTTTTTTATATAATATGATATTTTTTTTTTTCATCTACGAATATGTGATCTCGGTAATATAAAAACCGTGACGAGAAATGCCAATCAACGTCAAATGCATTTAGTGAAGCGACATCTCGATTTTATGAAAACATCACAAAAAGTAATTGTGATAGCAATGCAATAAATGAGATGACTTTTTCACCTATTTATTTTATTTTCAGAAAATGTAAGTTTCACACGAAGGATGGTGCTATACTACAATGACTCTGTAACAAGCGTACAAGAGATTTTAACTTGAGAACAATGCAAAAACGAAATTTTAGTAAAACTAATTCTCTAATTTTAGTTGATCAAAAGAATTTAATATCATAAATAATCAATGTCAATAAGATATTTCATATATTGTTACAATTACTTTTT